TTTTTATTGTTGTATTGTTATTATTTATTTATTTGAATATTTTCAATCCACAGTTAGTTGAATCTGTGGATGCAGAACCCGCAGATATGGAGAGCCAGTTGTACCTGTTAGTCATTTTTCTTGACTGCTAAAAGGAACTCCATCCTGTTTTTAGATTCTCTCAGGGAAAAGGAAAGAAAGCACTATCCACTATATCAAATTCATTAAAACTTGTGGGACATGTTTATAGTGCTGTGGGTAAACTTGAGGTGCAGTAATTTATTTCTACTAAAACTGCTGTATCATGACCAAGATTTTCTTTTTGGCATGTCTTGACATCTGCATTCTCCCTACCTCCTCCTTATTCTTTGACATGATATTCTTTTCTTTGATAGATCGTGAGGCAATACACCAATAAAGATCACTTAGTTCTAACGGGAAAATGATTAACTAATGGACATTCATCATAAAGGGTAGTAGGTCTAAGGGGATATGTTATCTCGCCAGAACAAACTGCTTAGTTTATATTGCCTCTACTAAACACGAATCCTGGGACTTGGCACTTGGTAAGCACGCAATAAGCAATAGTAGATCTAGAGTAGAGTTCAGTGTGAACAAAGCAACTTGGGAACATACAAAGCAAGTTTGGGGAAGGGCAAGTGAATGGCTGGCAGGGAAGGGGCAGCGGGAAGGGTCAAGCAGAGAACTAGAGAGGAGGAATGAGCTTGGAGAGATGGGCTGGAGGCCATGCCAAGGGGTCCTGAGGAGAAGACCAAGGAGTCGGAATCATTTTCTGGGCCCTAGAGAGCTGTTGACCAAGGTGTCAGAAGTGGTGGGGGATGGGGGGAGCAGTGCAGGAGGCTACTTATGCCGTCATTCAGAAGGGACACTGGGGCTTGGGGGCTCTGGAGACTGTGGCCCTGAAACAGGACTGGAGCAGCTGAGTCTGAGAGACATCCAGATTCAGCACTTGCTTGCTTGGGTAAGGGGTCTAGAACAAAGAGAGAGGGGAAGTCATCTCTAGAGGGAAACATTTCCTGGTGCCTACTGTTTACAAAATCATGGACTGGCATCTTAGTGATAGCATGATTCCAAAGCTGAAATCTTGCCTATAAGCAATATATGTACAGTCTATATCTGTAGTCTGGTAGCAAGGACAGGCATGCAAACTGCTAAAGGATACAAGGCAGAATAAACAAAATGCTGCCGAGGTTCGAGGGAGGTGGCTTTGTTTCCCCTGGAGGGTCGTGTAGATGATCCACTGGGCAATAGACATGTTTATGTTGGTCCTTCTGTTTAGTAGCAATCCCCTCCATTCTGACCC